ATAACACAAGTCTGCAATATGGTCTGTTAACTCTGAGAGCCAAAGCATTGCTTCCATCAAAGAAGGTGCTGCTGACAAGTCACCCAAAGACTGGGATTCACATTACCAAATAATCTTACCCCTTCTCATTCAGAGTTTTCTTTAAATTTACTAGAAATATTCCATGTTCTCTGCCATATCTAGATCACAGCATATCTAGAAGTACAATAAGTAAGCAGCACCGGACATGAACAATGACAAAAAAAGCTGAAACGAGAAGCGGGCAATTTTCCTAGTAATCAGATATACTGCAAACACGCACTAAATGCACATAATAAATGCATGCATAAATAACTAAACTATATCAGTATTTCATAAAGCAGCACAATTAAACCTAAAGAAACACTGACAAGTTCTCCCCTTAGGGTGCATTTTTGAGGAGTAACTTAGGAAGTCAAATCCCATTAAAAGAGAATGAGAACTGGGGCTTACCTACCTTAAACTTGCAGATTTAAGAATCATACAGTATAAATAAGCTATTGTGATTATGGGCAGCAAATGTCTAAGCTTCTTGTGGGGACATTATGTGATACCCGATATGGAAATCATTTATAAATATTTTATACAGACATTTATAAAACTGATCTTTTACAGTCCATCATGAGATCAAGCTCATCTTTGATAAATACAGCTACTTCAGGCTGTCACACTTTATTATTGTGTAGTCTCAGTCTTACAGCTATTTCAGAGTTTAGGAGGAAGTCTTGATCTCATTTTTCCCCTGAAAAGCAGGAGAAAAATGTCAGAAATCAGGAAAAGAACTATATATTGCCCTTTTCCATCTGTTAAAAGGCTAAATAAAAAAATTAATTTTCCTTTAGAAACTCTGAAACAGAGGCTTGAAGTCCAGACTCCGGAAAAACGTGATTCTGTGTTTTAATGCTGACCAGCACGAGCTCTATCTGGTGGCCAGATACTGTAGTGCACAGGCGAGAAAGATGTTCATCATATTCACGTTCATGAAGATGAGAAGCATCTCAGTCTTCAACATTTATTTTTCTTTCCTAGAAAGAACTACTGAATATTAAAAGATACCCAGGAGAATGGGGGGCGGGAAGGAAATGGTAGAGGAGATGGGACTGTGGTATCTTTTATGCCAAAGCATTTAAGCCATGATTACTAGAATCCTAGAATCACATTATTCAAACCTCAAAGGCTGGAGGTATCTGCTATCCAAAAGTACTGAGGGTTTGCTGCAACCTTACAGATTCTAGGCAGACAGGACTGGAAAGTAGTATTCGAGGCTTCAGCTGAAAAAGCACCCGTTAGGTAAAATTCAGTAGCCTAAATCAGAATTTGGCAACAACTCTGGATTGCCAGCGTCGCTTCAACCAATGTTAGAAAAAAGAATAAAAAAAAAAAAAAAAAAAGGAGAAAAATTTTAAATACATTAGTGGAAAGTCAGGTCCTTCTCTTTACCAGAAAACCTGCAGTCTTCTTTTAACTATGAAGTCTCTGAACACAGGATATCTTATTCAATGAAACTGAAGGAAATTCTACTACATTACTCAGCTCCAAGAACCAAACATGCTTTCATCCCTCACCACTAGGAATACAAGCTTTCCTCACACCTGCAAATTGGTATCACTGGAGAGGAAAACACGGTGTATTATCTAAACAGCCAATATACTAACACAATTTCCCACCAAGAAATTATTACACAACCAGCTTTTCACATCACTGGGACAGCATTATGACAAAACTCCAGGTGATACAGCTTTAGCTTGTAGCCAAATATTATACAGAAGCAATTTTTGTATTACTTAGATTTTTGCACTGCATTCCAGCATACTCAAAGTCATACGCAATTTGTTCCACTACAGCAGTCAAAATTCAGAAGCACCTCTTTCTCTGAACACGCTTTGTACAACAATAGTTTATTTTGAAATACACTGAAATAGTGTCCACAGCCACATCTGGTTGCAGTGAGACATGGTGCTAAAATAGCCCTGTATCTTTGTAGACCAATAACTGGTACAATTAAAAGACCAAGTTTGAGTGTTGCAAAAGTAGACACCATCCAAATACCGCATTTCCCTTTTGGGAGTACGATTTATCTGGAGCAGCAAAAACAAACCTGCAGTGCCCCGTAGGACTGAAGAAGCTGGAAAACTGTTACTCAGGCACAAATCCAGCTCTAAATCCAGGTGTTCCTTGGAATGTGACCAAATTTACTCACTTATGGATAGTGTGAAAATATGCAGCTGCAACACTTGAGCAGCCAAAGAAACCTAAGCAAAATTTGTTTATTCCCAGATTTCTACTGCATTCTTCAAAACCAAATCACACATTTTAACTGTCATCCCAGACCTGCAAAACCACAAAGCAAGTAAATGGGCTTCATGTAGACAGGGATGAAGTTTCTCTCATGACTTTCTCAAAGAAGTTCTCATTCAAGCCATTTGGGAACAGAAAAATCCATTCTTGAGCCATGTCCGAGTCTTAACTATGAAAGGTAGTATTTATTGCACAAAGGGTGTTCCCAGCACATACCTCATGACCATTCCTGACTTTTGCTCTGTCCCATATTGCAACTATGAGACAGCATCTGCACTTCTAAAACTTGCAGTTGAGTATTTCTCTAGGAGAGGATTTACCACTTCTGACAGAAGTTCAAGCCGTCTGCAATTAGCTCCCGTTTCTGTACTGCCCCACAACTATCCTATCCTTCTGGGATGCACAATCCTGAAAGCAAACTCAACACTAGATAACCACACATCACACTTACAACATCATTACGTACTGCAATTTTAAACTACAAAGCTCACTGCCAAATAAGCTGCTAAAAATGTGGTTTTTTATGATGAGAGATGGTTAAATCCATGTTTCAAGGCCTAAATAGCATGCTTTTTGGTGAAAACTGTGTATTTGTTCTCTGGTTGTTCCAATGTTCTCTAAACTTCTATTAGAAGACCATCAAGGGCTAATTGTCTGGAAATGTAGTTGATGGAAATAGCTAGTCATCCTATATAATCTGTTCTACATTAAATCTCCTCAGGGGGCTTGGAAGAAGAACACCAACATCCACACAGATCCCTTTCATTTTTAGCTGGGAGCAAATACTCGAGCTAGCAGCGGAACAAAAACAGTTATGAAGAATATCCTGTATACCCTCAGCCACAAAAGATCTCAATCAAAACAACAGCAAATACTAAAGAAAGCACTCAACATGGTACGTTCCAAGGAATAATACATTTGTTGTTCTTATCCCATTGACTGCAGATGGCCAGTGTCCAAAAAATCCCAAACCAGAATTACTAGGAAAAAAGGCGAATCATTAAGTATCCTTTTGAGCATTTCACTGTCTCTTGGTGAAAGCCAAGGGGTTATCACGTCTTGCATTTGTTTACATCAAAGGTAAATAACGTAAAGCAAGTTTGGAGTAATACATATACTTGCCTTAGCTCAGGAAAAGTAATAAGAACTACAGTAATTGCAAGAATATGCTTCTTGGGAAAAGCACTCGAGGCTCTGCCACGGGTATGGATGGGTTTTGGTGGGGTTTTATGTTGCTGCTGGATAACACTGCACTGCTGATCCTAATTACTTGAGCCCAACAGCAATATCTTCATACTGTGTCATTTCCAGAAGGAAATATTTCATGTATTCTTTCAGTGACACTGCATTTAAAAAGGTAAAAGCAAACACAAATTGTTTGGAAGCAATTTGCAGTTAACATCACCCTCAGCTTCAAAAGCGCAGAAACCTAGTTACTACCAATGTCTAATGCAAACAGATTAATGTATGCCAACAGTATTCTTCCTCACAGCAGAGTAATTGCTTACAAAGAGAGCAAGAAGCATGCCTGAAAGAAACACAGAGCACTTTTAATAGAAAAATGCTTTACCAGAAAATCAACTTGACTTCTCGAAACACTGTGATACATACTTAGTGCTCTAGCAAAATGAAGTAACATAAACCGCCTTAAAAGCACTTCTGGTAAATACATATTTACATGATAATGCATAGAAAATCAATGAGAAATAGCCTTAGAAATTTTTAATTTTGTAACAGAAGAAATAAGTAGAATCAGACCAAACAAAAAAAATAATTATAAAAGAGTGGAAGTTGATCAAGTCAAATAGGAAGAGAAAAAAGGTTAGAAATTAGGGTACGCACTGACATCTGAACAGGCTGTTGTCAGGTTGCTGCAGTTTTGGGGACATGACATTCCTTAAAAATACAAGAGGAGTTTTGCAGAGGACAAGGTGCTCAACATAAAGCAGAGAACAGTCTCCAGCGATTTTATTTTCTATTTCAGTGAGCAAAAACTTCAACTATTTGACTTTGAGCATGCTACCACCTATTCTGCTTTAGATTTGCCCAGAATACTACCTGTTGTCAAAAAGGTTGTACTGCATTTACAACAAAGCACATTTGTTGTTCATGCCATGCAATACACCTCATAGAAACTTCCACTCGTATATGTGGTCCCAACTCCTTTGTGTCGGAAAACGAGCGGTGCTCACAACCCCTGGTGGGTGCTTTCCACCGCTCTCACCTCTATCTCCTCGTGGTCTGTACTCTTCCTGACTACATCTAGGTTTTACTACACTGATTTTTCTATTGCTGTTCAGGTCAAGCTCAACGCAGCCCTTCAGGAAGCACGAACCTATGCAGCCATACAAGCCACTCGTTCGTTTTTTAAACAAGAAGAAACTGACTCGGTGAGACCGACGCGCTCCCTGAAGCTCACTACAGAGCTCGAATCAAACTCGAGACAGCCCCTCCACCTTCCCCGGGGGCTGCGGGTCTTAACAGTACGCACTCAAAGAGAACCCCGCGGATCACAAACCTACGATGCTGAGTGCGCTTGGGCAAGTTAAAAGCGCACCCGGCTAAACTTTCTGTGTGGATGACCGCGAAGGTCCGTTCCGCGGGGCAGCCCCGCGGGAGGCCGGAGGGGCACAGGCCCCCACCCGGTCACAGACAAAGCCCCGGTCCCGCCGCGCCGCACTCACATGCCCCGCTGCAGCCGCGGCTCCATCGCGCCGCTCGCCCGGGCAGCCAGCGCCCAGCACAGGCCAAGGTATAGGCCCGCCGGTCCCGCTCCCATCGCGCCGCCAAAGCAGGGGAGACGCGGGCGGCTGCAGCCCATCGGTACCGGCACCAGAAATGCCTCCTGCCGCCGCCGCACCAGCAGCCCAGCACCCGTTCGTGCTCCAAATCATTTAAAGCGGCGGAGAGGCGCGCCACTGGCGGGGCGGTACCGGACCGCCCCGGCCGCTCCCCGGGGCGGGGGACCCTGATGCCCACCCCCTCCTTCACCACGGCCTCCTCCTCCGTCTCCTCCTCCTCCTCCTCTGCCGCCTCTTCCGTCTCCTGCGGGACCCGGTCAGAGGGAATCATAGGATCATAAAATCATGGAATGGTTTGGGTTGGAAGGGACCTTACAGATCATACAGTTCCAACCCCCTGCCATGGGCAGGGGCACCTTCCACTAGACGAGGTTGCTCAAAGTCCCATCCAGCCTGGTCTTGAAGACTGCCACGGATGGAGCAGCCACAGCTTCTCTGGGCAACCTGTGCCAGTGCCTCCCCACCCTCATAGTAAAGAACGTTTTCCTACTATCTAATCTAAATCTCCCCTCCTTCCTTTTTTTTTATTCATGGTTGCCACTGGGTCTTCTTCCTCTGTCCGTGCCCTTCAAGCCTCACCTCTCCTTCTCTGCAGTGTCTTTTTGGTTTCCGTTTGAAAGGGACTTTCCTCCTGGTCCAAATTCCTGTTGGGTACAGCCCGGAGAGGTGGAGATAAGGAGGAATTTAGTTTCATTCAATAGCAGATGAAGTTATGTGCAACCTCATGTTCACGCTGGTTACCAGCTCTCAGAAGAGCTGACCAGCCCCTGCACTCTCTCCCTCTGCGCAAGGATGCCAAGCCATTTCTGCTTCACTGCGAGATGCATCTTGACTTCTCTTTTTCTCTCTGGTCCTTCTTTGTTCTGTGTGTGACATCCATTGCAATCACATCTGAGCACTTCAAAGAGGTCACCATGAAATAAATGCATTTAACGTCATGAGGGAAGGCTCGCACCACCACTGCTGAGAGTTAGTGACAGCAAGGATGTAAAGCTGGGAACCAAGGAGTAGTTTCTTAAATCCCTGCCTTGCCTGCTATCCTCTAAGCCATCCATCTTTTCATCTTTATGATCTCTCTAGACTTTTACTGTTGTCAAATAGCAAGTCTTTTCCCTTTTCTGGCAAGAGAAGGAAGACCAACTGACCTGGAAAGGGAACTGTGCATAGTAGCAAATAAATAATGAGGAAAACACACCTTAAGCATTTTATGATCTAATGTAGAACTCAGGGTCCATTACACCACAATTCTCCTCTCTCTAGAGAGTCGTGACTAGCCAGCTGTTGGGCTGTGACCAAGCAGATGGGTCCTGAGCCAACCAATGCTAAAGATGACTGCAATTTCCTTCTACTCCAGTGGAATGGGCTTGGTCTTGAGTTGCTGCAAATTAGCTCCTGTACAAAATCTGTGACAGAGAACTGCTGGATACACTGACACCCTCCTGGGTTAGGAGTCAGCCTCAGTTTTATAGTGAATTGCTTTGTCTTCCTTTCAGTCCTGTAATAAGATACACTGGCTTCTTCTCTACACGTGCTTCACAAGCACAGTTTCCTGTATGTTTTTTATTTTCTAAGGCCTTTGCTGAATTGAGTAAACATTTACCAATCATAACAAGAAAGCTTGTTTTATATTGTTCATTGCTTTGAAGCTTGCATTGGCATGAGACCCTTGAGATTTTATCAACTGATTTCTTTTTCATGGTGAAGAAAACATATAGCCTTCATCTGACCTCAGAGCAGATTAATAGTACCCTGAAATTTCCATTGAATGGCTAAGCCATTCTTGTGTCTGGAGAAGTTCTAACTCTGCAGGACCTTGTGTTGAGCTAATCTCATTACCTCCCGCAGAGCACATAGTTTTCTAATCATTTCATTTCTTCAACCCCAAAAAATCTTTTTTTTGCAAAGTAATAGACCTTCATTATGTCAAGACAGAGTGTTCATTATGTCCTGTGATGTCATCCCAACCTGGATTATTTTCAGGATCGCATCATGGCAAAATAGCAAAGGATCTTATTGCTTGGCTGTTTTTTCCAGGAGAAGTAAATCAGTCTTTACAAAATATTCTAATTTTTTCCACCTTAAGGAGCTCAAAAATCAACTCCTCAACATTAATTTTCAAACCTGCATGTGATCATTCAAGTTATACACAACATTTATTACATCCATTTATTGAATAATGGAATAGCAACATACAAACTGGGAGGTAGCAAAGTGCAGAGAAGTCGGTGAAGGCCACTTAATAGATGAAACCTTTGCTTTAGGGCCACACAGCAAAATACAGCTGCAGCTGAATTCTGAGGACAGAGCAGTGTACAATTTCGCTGCAATCTGTGCAGAAAGCTTTGCAGGCCCCGCTTCAGCAACTGTGACACTGACATTCACCTGAACTGAAATGTAAACCCAGGGCAATGTGCCCTTCTTACAAATACTATCTAATGTTTTATCCTCAGCTGTATTTTAACTGAGAATATTCTGAAAAGCTGTTGACTCAAATGGGACAGTTCACATAAGTAGGAGTTACAGCATTGGTGAAGCAGTTTCAAAAGCCTGCTGGGATAATTGATCTGACTGTGCCCAAGTCAGTTAACTCTTCAGACCTGACACGGATAATACAAAGATAAAAGCAAACTAATTTATTCTGATTCTTACAGTGGCAACAGTGGGCTAGGTCAGAAAAAAAGGGGTAGTGGATACAGCATCAGTGACTTCTTTATATTCCATATCTCTGCATTGATCAACTACACACATATCTACTGTCCTGAATCTTATTTGCTATGCAAACTGTGCATCTTTTATATTGATAACTACAAACCACATAGTGGCCACCACCAAACCAATTGCTGAACATGTTAACAAAAGAGTTCGCTTCTGGAATGGTGAAATGAATAAATTAAGTTGAATCTTGCTCTGCTAAAGCAACTTTTGAACTGAGCATATAAAGTGCTGATTCTTCTTGATGCAGGTGAGACATAATCTAACTCAATTGCATAGAATACAAACAGAAAAAAAACCAGCTTGTGTCTTCCATGGAGCACTGAATGACTTTCTGTGGGATGGAAGATGTATAGTTTTTATTATTATTGACCAGATTTTTTTTTCTGAGAGATTCCAGTGCAATCCAACTTCAGCACATTGTTTACAACACTGTCCAGATCATGAATTCTATAGAAAAGTTAGTACCTCTCATGAAGATCCAGCCTATCATCTCCATTTTAAAGAATATTTCCCCCCTCATTAACATTTTAATTTTGATTTATGATTTTCTCTTCCTACAAAGATGTTGTGACAGTTGGTGTGTATCCTCAAGCATGAATGAATGTGTCCCCAACTTTAAGTCAGTAACACACCACCCTTTTCTATTTTCATTTTTCTGTCTAATACTCAAAGTCTCCATTCTCAGTCTTTTTCAGTCATAGCTAGTTACAGGATTTAACATTCCTTTCTGATAGAAAAAAAATGTGCAGAGATTGTAATTAGGAAGGCTGTGCTGTGGTCTGTTATTAGCAGGAATTGTGATTTTTGGAGTGGTGGGTTAATTGCTAATAACCATATGCAATGCTTCTCTCAAGATGTTTCCATTACAATAATTAACTTAGCAGCTGGGATAACAGACATTTACCATTTGTCTTCACAGTATCCCAAATTTAGGGTTGTTCCAAAAACCTATTTGAATTTTGTGTTTTCAGTTCCCAGGTGTAAGATGAAAAAGAGGGGATGATGAGAAAGGGAGATTTGGAAAGTTGCAGGGATAGTACCTGTTTTCAGATGTGAACTGTCTATCAGCGTGTCCTCAGGAATTCTGAATTTTTCTTTACTTGTCTTACTCTTGGATCATCATTTTCATCAGCACCAACTGGATGGAGAGCATGGCAGACCAGCCTGAAACAGAGGATGTTTTCAAAGATGTATTGATTACCTGTTGCTTAAATTAATCTGATTAATCTTTAGCCTTCTTGCGGATTTATTAACTGAAAAGTGCAGAATTCACTATTGCCAACTCATAAACTTAACCTCAAAATCCCTATGGTTTATGATTTTTTTAATTCATGTTTCATAGTCAACTGTATAGATATAAACATTTCTAAGTAATTACTTTCTTTCAGTGATGTCCCACTGGAGTTCCTTCCTCCAGAGCTTCACCAGAATTACTCTAATATTTTTAAGTATACGGCTAACCTGAAATATAAGAAGAAAATAAAGTTGTTCTACAAAGCCAGACCAGATGACAGAGCAATAGCAGTTTTGCTGATTCAATTAATTAACAGAATATATTGAAGGCTTAATTTTGCTTACAAGATAATTGTTAAGACTTTTAGCACCACCATGCTAGATTTTTCCCTTTTTAAAGTTTGTTCTGGCCAGAGCAAACTCTGTACAATGCTGAATTAAAGAAGGTTTGATAATACCCTTAAAGATGTAAAACAGCATCCCAAGGTCACTGGAGGCATTCTCTGTTGTAATGAATTGGCATTGTTTCATTGCAGTGAATAGGGGAATGCTAATTTACAGTAACTGAGGATCTAGCCAGTGTTGTTAATCATAATTATGGACTTACTTTGGGAGGTATATTTTCTAAAGCAGTTGAGTAAGACAAGAAAATTAAGTTCAAATTATTTTCTTCCACAGGAGGTAAAAGTAGTACATAAATAAATACTTAGTGTTGCACTAGATCTTTAAAACATATAATAGATTTCTGGCACTGCATCATTCCCCGATATTTTTCCTACAGCATATAATAGTAAGTTTCTGATAATAGTGCTCACAGACAGCTTTGATTATAACCACTTGTCAGGGAATGGATCACAAGGAAAATAACACCATATTCAACTGTGAAAAACGCTGCCTGAAATACATTAATACAGTGATAATTTCTGCTAATAGAAGCCTCCAAACCCCATCCATTAGCTCTGAATTGAAATTCCTTCTTCATTTCTATCTCTCTGAGCATTTCTGCCCTCTGACCCCCTCTTTCATTACTTGGTAGCAACACAACCATCCACAAACATTAACTGCCACAAACAGCCAAAGCCCTGCACTAAGAG